CCCAGCTCCAGGATTCCTTGATGCCTCCAGTCCAGCAGGAAGTAGCCAAAAGAGCCCAAGACACCCATTGGCTGTGGTACCTTTAAATATCTCTGTTACCTCCTCAGGTTACTGTGATCCGAAAGCAGGAAAAGCCTTATTCCCCTCCTCCAGGATGCCGGGAGGCAGGTACCATGCTATGTCTCCAATCCGAGACAGAAAAGGCAATTTCAGGCCTTTGATAGCCCCTTCTGGGAATCAATCCCTCCATGGTACATCCCTTCATATCCTTCTCTTGGGATGCTAACAACAGCCTTAACAGCAATTTTGCCTTTTATTAATTGTGTCTCGCATTTTAGATAACTGTTGTCATGGAAAAAGGAGGTCCTTTACCAACCAAACTGTCAAGCAGATGCTTCTTGGATGGTACCTGGCTGAGCAATGAAGCAGGGACCCCTGACTATTTCGCCCCTTTACAGCAGGAAGTAGCTCCAGAAGAAACAACCTCCACCCATACCCCCGGGCTTGGTACTCCCAATTTTTTATTAAACAACAGAGCAGGGGAATGTAAGCATTATGCCCATCTTTGGTCCTCAGCCCCACCCAGACCTGAGCTCCTCCTTGTCCTGGAGTTCCCGCCATATAGCTGGCTTCTCCCTCTCTCTACCCAGACCCACCTGAGCTCCCACTTACCTCACTTCTTACTTCTGCGAGACCCTGCTGTTACCTAGATAGTGGAGGGTGCCATGTGCTCCTTCTCTGGGGGAAGTATGGCTCCTCTAATAAACCTTGTAATAATCTTTCTCCTGTGCCCTGCCTGCCTCTGTGTGGTCTCCTGAGATGGATGTGATGGATCCTTTCACTTATGACATGTCCCTTTTCTTAGGAATAGGTGGTCCAGACTCTGGCCTCCCTGGCACAGACACCAGTCAGCATACAGGTTGAACTCAGCATCCCAGAGCCATGCTCTTCTCCAGGCCTTCCTCCTTTGGTCTTGGCGTCTCTCCCAGCGCTCTATAGAGGCCTCTGAGATGGCTGCCAATTCACCCTGCCAAGAACTCCCTGCTCCCCTGGCTGGATTTCTGAGAAAGGACCTACACCTTCTAAAGAGCGGCTTCAAAGTATTCTGCTCAATACAGTATGCTGGGGGAAATTTATCATGAGAAACTGGTAGTCACTCTCAGCTTTGTGTCTGCATTAGCTCCGTCAGTTCTTCAACTCCTTCAATTAGCTGCACAATTCCAGGAAACTCATACACACAAGTCAGATGTAAAGAACTATCGCTTATCCCAGGAATTTCCAGAATCACTTAAAGGAACATTAAACTACTTAACGCTCTGTGTGTATGTGTGTGTGTGTGTGTGTGTGTGTGTGTGCACGTGCATGAGCATATGTGCCAGCACTAGAGCTTGAACTCAAGGCCTGGACACTGTCCTTTTTAATTTTTTTTTTGTCTGTCATGGGGCTTGAACTCTGGACCTGGGTGCTGTCCCTGAGCTCTTCAGCTCAAGGCTAGTGTTCTATCACTTGAGCCACAGCACCACTTCTGGTCTCCTGGTGATTAATTGGAGATAAGAGTCTCATGGACTTTCCTGCATGGGCTGGCTTTGAACCATGGTCCTCAGATCTCAGCATCCTGAGTAGCTAGGATTACAGGCATGAGCCACCAGCCCCCCACCCTCTTTAAAAAAAAAAATTAAGTAGCTGTACAAAGGGTTTCAGTTCTATAAGTTAGGTTATGATTATAATGCATCTTGATCAATGTGACCCCCTTCCATGTTTTCCCCCATTTTCCCTCCCATCCCCTACCCTGTTACATAGCTCAAATATTTACATAATGTGCATTGAATATAATGATTGTATTTACTCACTCTTCCTCCCTCCATTCCTATGCAAACCCCTACCACCATCTCTTATGTTGTTTTGCTCAAGGTTGGCACTATACCACTTGAGCCACATCTCCACTTCTGGCTTTTTGGTGGTTAATTGGAGATAAGTCTCTGACTTGTCTGCTGGGATGGCTTCAAACTGTGATCCTCAGGTCTCAGCCTCCTGAGTAGCTAGGATTACAGGCAAGAGCCACTGGTGCCCAGGTCTCCTAAATGCTTAGTAGCACAGAGAGACGTTCTATCCCAAGACTCTGAACCTTTACCTTGAAATGCCCCTCCACGGTCTCCACCTATCCTAACCTAGGCCATGATCTTTACCAAATCCTGACCCAGACTTCTTCCCTTGCCATGAAAAGCCCTGCCTAAAGTGAGTGCCAAAGTTTCATTCCCTCCTACGCCATCTCAGATACCCTAGGAGGAAACTGCAGTGGACTCCCCAAAGGTAGGCAGAGTAGGACAGGCCTTTGTGCAGGTGAACTGGATTTGGCAGACTTGGCCTCTTGACCTTTGGTATAAGGGGCTGATCCCTAGGGGACAGCTGATCTTGAGTAGTGACTATGAACTCCAGAAAGGCCCTTGGGATCTCCTGGTATAGCCTCTGTACTTTACAGATGGACAAGGCCTGCAAGGGGAAAGGGGGGGGGGAAGCTAGCTAGGATTACCACAGGGGATAAAATGAGCTAACATCTATAATGTGTTTAGACATTGCCTGGTACCCACTGAGCTCAGGCCTCTCGTGGAATCTGAACTGTTATTGAGGACAAACTCAAGTGGGCTTCTCAGAGTTACAGAATAAAATGCAAACTTCACCTTGAACTTAGAACATTTAGAGCTCAGAAATGGAGTGTTCAGATTCTGAACCAGGCCCACATTGGCCTGAACGTCTGACTCCACAATTCTGAGGCAGGTTGAGGATTTCTAACACCTCCCTGGTGCTGTTGTGGTCCACAGCCCCTCTTTGAGGACCATAGGCTCAGAGGAACAAATAACAAGTAGGGGAAATGGTGGCGCCAACCGTGGCAATGGGGCTGGCAGGTCTCTCCATCCCTCCCCAGGGCCCATGGGCTTCCCCCAGGGCCAACACTGGCTGTTCTGCAGCAGCAGCCTGTGGACCATTTTGCTGCACCTGGGCCCACCTGAGACTGTTCTGTGTATTAGCTTGGTCTAGCTGCCTTTACTTTGTGCTGCCCACAGAGGGGGCAGTTCCTCTTTGCAGGTGTGCAGGTATCAGGCTCCTGGAGGGCTGTAAGATAAATCAAACACCAACCAGGGATATGAGCCAACACAATCTTTATTGCAAACTGAAGCTTTTGGCTCAATCACACTGGGAGCTTGGATTTGGGGGTTTTTCCGGTTGCCCAAGCTTGCTCAGAGAAGCCAGGGCACACAGTGTAAGCTGAGCAGAAAACAGCTTCTAGAACAATCCCCTCAAAGGGCCTGAGGAGAGGACCTGGGGATGTAGGCACATGGGAACAAACCGGAGTTAGGGTCAGAAGGCCAGGCACCGCATCTCCTGGTGACCATGACTATTCCCACTGCTGGGACTGTGTAGCATTCTGGAAAGATCTAAGAGGCCAAGGGTTTCCCAGGGCTGGTTAGGAGGAGGTGGGGAGAGCTGGGAGAGCTTTCCTCTTACCCTCCCAGGACATGTGACAGTTATACCTGTAAAGTGATTAGTTATTTGGGGATCTTGTGAAAAATGCAGATTCTGACTCAGAAAACCTGTGTGTGTGTTCGGGTGTGTGTGTACGGAGTGGGGCTGAGCCTCTGCATTTTTATTTTCATTATTCTATTTTTGAGATAAGGTCTCACTAAATTGCCAAGTTGGCCTCAAACTCTTGACCTCCTGCCTCCGGCTCCAGAGAGCTGGGACCACAGATGTGCAGCACCATACTGGGCCAAGGCTGCATTTCTCACCAGCCTCTGTGCAATCTGGACAATCCTCATCCCGAGGACATGAGGGTGGGGGTGGGGGTGGGATGGGCATACCAGCCTAGACTGCAATTCAGCCTTCTCTTGTCGCAATTATCCACAGCTATTCTCAGTAGCCCTGGGGATGTCCTGACGTCTTCCCTTGGAAACTTTTCCCCCAGTGTTTGGCAGACCAGGTCTTGGGATAGTAGGTACAAGCTGAATAGGACTCTCTGGGACTCAGTGATCAGGGCTGGGTCTTTGGTCTAACCTGTGAGCTCCTGGGCCAGGGAAGGGATGTGGAGGACATTCTGAATTGGGATTCCTGCTCTGAATGGTGGAAGCAGCCTAGCTCTGCCCACATCCTGGAGTGTCAGGAGCCTCCACAGAACTAGACAAAAGCTCTAGGCCAGCGGGAGTCTGCGGCAGCAGAACCCACTGCTTGCACAGGGGAGGTGTGGGAGGCAGAGTCCTAGGGGGCCAGGGCTTCTCTAAAGCAGAGGCTGGTTTTTGTTTGTTTTTATGTTTTACCCAGAACAAGAGCTCAGCCTTCTCCTGGTGGAGGGCCAGCCATTCCTGCTTGCCTGGAACTGTGCTGTCATTAGCAATGAGAGTCCCATGGGAAACCTCTCAGTCCTAGGCTGAATAATCATCCCTAGAATCTGGGTAGAGGGCCTCCAAATGGTCAGATGATTGGGGTTTGGTGGTGGCCTCCAAGCTGGCTCATCACTTATCTGGTGATCTGTGGTGCCTTTGTTCCCAGGGGCTAGATCGAATAGCCAGGCCACTGTTGGAGGAAGGCTGAAGTGAGGGTGGTCGGACCAGAACCACAGACATAGGTAGCTTTGTTGTCTCTGGACCAGTCTGCTGTGGCTCAGGGGGCGATGACCAGGCAGACCCTGGTCATTCATAGGGAGGGGTGAGGCACCCAGAATTCTTTACCCTGCTGCCGCCTTCCTCTTCTTCCTCTTCTCCTCCTCCTCCTTCTTTTTTTGTCTATCATGGGGCTTGAACTCAGGGCCTGGGCACTATCCCTGAGCCTTTATTTTCCTCAAGGATATCACTCTACCACTTTAAGCCATAGCACCACTTCTGGTTTTTTGATGGTTAATTGGAGATAAGGTTCTCACAGATTTTCCTGCCTGGGCTGGCTTTGAACCATGATCCTCAGATCTCAGCCTCCCAAGGAGCTAGGATTACAGGTGTGAGCCAGCCTGGTGCCCAGCCCCATGGATTTCTTAATCATGAGGAAGTTACAGAGCAGCCTTGATTTGCTCCCCAGTGTCTCATCCTGCAGCTCCCAAGCTTCTTCATAACTATTTTCGACCAGCTGTAGGGCCATGCCACACCCTCCACAGCATCCAGAGGAATCCTGATTCTGGTTCCTGCCAGTCCTGGATATGGCCAAGACCAGGGCACTGTGAAGAGCTTCATCCAGCTCAGTTCTCAGGAAGCAATAAATAGGTGTCTTCTCAGCACTAGGAATAAGACCTCTAACACGAAGAGATCCCTTCCACCCCCAGAAGTTCAGCAGGGCTCATCTGCAGGCTCAGGGCGGGTGTCTGAGAATGTGGAGGAAAATCCTCCCAGGGTCTCAAAACAGGCAAAGGCTCCCCATCACCATTGTTCCTCTAAGTAACAAGACTCAGGGAGGGCAGGAATTCTACCCAAGTTTGCACAGCAGCTATGAATGCCTAGAGCTTAGGCTCAGGTGGGCCCTGGCCTCCTCCCTCTGGGCATCCCAGGCTGCCTACAGCACTAAGCTAGCTATCCTGGCCTGGCTGCGCCCCTCACTCTGCGCTGGTCAGCCCACCCATCCCCACTCCCCCAAGTTTGCCCTCCTATGGGCCTCTGGGTCTCCCTCCTCTCAGGGTGCCAGGCCAGTGGCCTCTGTCCCTTGCTGGGTGGGCACGAGGCGGGTGGTCTACGGTGGAGGGGCCCGAGCGCCTTCTGGAGACAGGAGCATGTCAAATTTGATGAGGGGTGGGGCGATCACGCGCACCTCGGCATTCAGTGGGTTGAAGCGGAGGTTGATGGTGCGCAGGGCAGGCATGGCGGCCAGCTTCTCCACTGGCACATCTGTGGGAACAGAAGGGAGAGGTTAGAGGGGTGGGCACACAAAGAAGGGCAATGGGGCATGCACATGCCATGGTACAAGCGCTCAGCTCTAGCTACAGGTACAGTGGTAGGGGCTATCAGGAGCCCTCCAGGATATCTGCAGCTACTTGGAGGTAAGAGCTTCTATGAACAAGAACCAGTTGTGGGCTGGGAAGGTGGCTTAGTGGTAGAGTGCTTGCCTAGACTGCATAAAGCCCTGGGTTCAATTCCTCAGTACCACCTACACAGAAAAAGCCAGAAGTGGCTCAAAGTAGAGTGCTAGCCTTGAGCAAAAGAAGCTCAGGGACAGGTTCCAGGCCCTGAGGCCAAGCACCATGACTGATTAAAAAAACAAAACAAAACAAAAAAAGTTGCTTCAAAAAGTTAAAATATAGACGGCGCCCAGGCCCAGAGTTCAAGCCCCATGACCGACAAAAAAAAAAAAAAGTTAAAATATAGGATTGCTGGGGCTGGGAAGGTGGCTCAGCGGTAGAGTGCTTGTCTTGCATGCATGAGGCCCTGGTTTGATTCCTCAGCACCACACAAGCAGAAAAAGCCAGAAGTGGCATTCAGCCTTGAGCTGAAGAGCTGGGGGACAGCGCCCAGGCCCAGAGTTCAGGCCCTAAAACTGACATATATACACATATATACACACCTATATATACATATGTGTGTGTGTCTATATACACATATGTATATATGATTGCCATGGGAGGCAGCACATGGACCCCTAGTAGAATGGGAAGAATGAAAGATAGGTACTTAAATGTTGGTACAGGAAAGCTCACAACAGAACAATTCACAACAGCCAAGTGTCCATCAGTATACACATGGAATATTATTTACCTGTGAGAAGAAATTAAGTTTTTTCTGGTCTTAGGGCTTGAACTGAGGGCCTGGGCACTTCCTTGCGCATTTTTTTGCTTAAGGCTAGCACTCTACCACTTTGAACCACAGCACTGTTTCCTGTTTGTTTTTTGTTTGGTCTTGTGGTTTTTTTTTTTTTTTTTGTGGTTAATTGGAGATAAGAGTTTCACAGGCTTTCCTGCCTGGGTTAGCTTTGAACCACAATCCTCAGATCTCAGCCTCCTGAGACGCTAGGATTATAGGCATGAACCACCAGGACCAGGCAGGAATGAAATTCTGATACATATTTTGACATAGATGAACCCAGACAACACTGTTAATGAGAGGGGAGGAACCAAAGGACAAATACTGTATTATTCCCTTTCTAAGGCATGTAGAATAATGATGTTCATGGAGACAGACGGTAGAATTGGAGTCATAAGGGACTTGGGGAAAGGGCACTGAGGCATTATTGCTTAATAGTTAGAGTGCCTAAGTGCAGAAACCTTTTAGAAATGGATGGTGTCCATGGGAGTACAACACTGTAAGTGTCACTAATGCTACTGAGTAGTGAAATGGTGAAAATAGCCAGGGATAGTAAGGCATGCCTGTAATCCCAGCACTTGAGAAGCGGAGGCAGGAGAATGGTGAGTTTGAGGACAGCTTGGGCTACACCGGGAGTTCCAGGTCAACATCAGTAACATAGTGAGTCTCGGTTTCAATCAATACATAAAATGGCAAAATTTGTTATGTATAATGTCACAATTTTAAACAATAATGTCCTATGTCAAAACCCACTGACATGCCAGACACCAGTGGCTCACGCCTCTAATCCTAGCTAATCAGGAGGCTGAGATCTGAGGATCATGGCTCAAAGCCAGACGGGGCAGAAAAGTCTCCATGAACTCTTATCTCCAATTAACCACTCAAAAACTGGAAGTGGAGTTATGGTTCAAAGTGGTAGATCACTAGCCTTGAGCAAAAAGAGCTCAGGGACAGTGTGCAGGCTGATTTCAAACCCTATGACTGACAAACAAAAAAACAAAAAAAACCCAACACTGACTGTGTACTTCTAACCTATGAAATAAGTGACAAGTGAATTGCACAGCTATAAAAACACAAAGTGCATTATGCTCATAAAGGGAAGAATATTCTTGCCGCGAGAGAAAAGGGTGCATTTGCTCATAGGTGTAATTCTTAATGACTTTGGCGCCATTCTCCATCTTGCCCTGTCTTTCTGCCCCCTGTGAGCTCCTAAAGAGGGAGACGTGACTGTCTTGGCCCCACCTAGGGCAGAAATGTGACCTCATTAAGACTCTTCACGGGCCTCCCTCCCTCCTGTGTCATTGCTCTGCGAGAGTCTCTGGTCTGGGACTTTCCAGGTTAGATCAATGCAGATCATCACCCGCAATGGAATGTTCTCTAGAAGCAAAGCCATTTATCTCCAGCTCCAGCTCTGCTCTCCAACCTCCAATGTGTAGAAATGGGACATCTAGTTTCAAATCATCATCCACTGGATTGATATGAAGATAGCAGGGCATGCCTCAAAGATCACCTAGAAAGCCACTTTGCAGCAAATGCAGTTAACAGTGGATCTCCTAATACCAGTAGGCTGTTATAAGTGAAGAGCCAGAGCACATCATCTGGATCTGGGGCTGAAGCCCTAGCGCTACTACTTTCTGGCATCATCCCTTCCTACCACTGTGACAGAGAGCCTTCCTTTTGTGTTATGATGAGATCAGGAGTATGTGTCTTTCTCAGGATACCACACCAGGGGGCAAAAGGTCCATCCCTTCTCATTCTTTTTTGAGCCATGCTTTTGGCCCTTTTTGCTATCATCATCATCATCATCATCATCATCATCATCATCATCATCATCATCATGATTATTGTGTGTATGCACACAGCGTGTGCCAATCCTGGAGCTTGAATTCAGGGCCTGGGCCTGGTCCCTCAGCTTTTTTGCTAAAGGTTGGAGCTCTACCACGTTTGGCTTCTTGGTGGCTAATTGGAGATAAGAGTCTCATGGACTTTCTTGTCTGAGCTGGCAGATCTCAGCCTCCTAAATAGTTAGGATTCTAGGCATGAGACTTCAGGTCCTGGCATCATTATTTTTCAAACAGGGTCTCAAATTTATGGCCCAGATCGGCTTGGACCACAATCTTCCTATGGATACTTCCCACATAGCTAGGATGACAGATGCACACCACGCTTCACTTTTCATTGACTGGATGGGAGAACTCTCAAATTTTTTGACTAGCCTTGAATTGTGATCCTCCCAAACTCCCCTTCTCAAGTACCTAGGATTATAAGCATGAATCACCACACTGATTACAAAGCCATCTTGAATGTTAATTTTGATCATCCGGTCAGTGTGGCATTCTGTTTCCCCACTACATAATTACTATTGGTTTTTCCTTCCTTTGCAATTAGCAAGAGATCCATGGGGACATATTTCAAGAAGCATGCAAACATCAGTCGCCTAGCCAACATTTCACATCCCTTGCCCCTAGGTTTAGCAGACACAGAGGGTTCTCACTCATTTGATCTTCACAAACTAATGATCTTCTAATACCAGCCAGCTCTCAGCATGTCTAAGTAAACCATAGCCTGCTCTCTGTTCTTATGAACCAGTTTATTACTAACATGGACCCCCATGGGTCTAGTGATTTGTAGGTCTTTATTGTATTTGATTAATTTGGTGCTCATGTTATTCCGGATTTGGCCAGTGGGAGCCCCTTGAAATGGTTCCTTGGATGGCACCCAGGGCCTTGAACACACTAGGCAAGTACTCTACTACCAAGCTCTACCTGCCCCTGTCCCCCCACCCCCACCCCCCAGTAGCCCAGTCCTTCCCAGGGCTGCTGACATACTCCCAGCATTTTGAGACATGCTTCCTTAATTTCTGGAGATTCATCACAAGCCTTCCCTGCTCAGTCCTAGAGTCATCCACATCTGGGAAGAATTCTGAGTCCTTTTCATGGCAAAGGGCTTTAGTGCCCACTAACAAGAGTGCTACTAAGGCACATTGTATAGTCCATGCATAGAGCCCATGTATAGCTCACCCACCGGCTAATATTGCTGCCATGTGCTCCATGCCATGACCCTGGTGCACTCACCTCTCTGCTCTGCCAATAATGGATAGCTAGGTGGCCTAATCTGTCCTTAAGGGCTGCTGTGAAAATGTCTTTGGATACACATAAGGAGTGGGATCAATTGCTCCTTCAAAGGATGTGTGTGTGCATATGGTAAACCACTGCTTTTCTGAACTCCAGCCAGCTTTCTTAAGCCTCTAGTCTCCCTGTCCCTGCATGAACTTACTAGCCTCAGCTTTTTTTGGGGGGGAGGTGGGGGAAAGGGGAGTGTTGGAAGATAGTGCTTGTGTTAGAATGGGTTCCCAATTCACAGGAAGAACACTGGCTACAGGAAAGACAGTGGTTTTCACTAGATGTCTGGCAAGTGGGTTAAGAGAAGGACAGGAGTAAGCCCTGGAAGAGGTGCTGAGGAGGGGCTAGTTCTAGAGACTGGGAAGGCTAAGGTAGGAAGGAGACAGGCTGTTCCCAGAACTCAGAACACAGGGCTATGTGGGGTAGACCTACCCCAGGGAACAGAGAAAAAAGCTGAGTGATTAGCGTTCATTAACACCACCCACCTCCTTCAGATGCAAATGTGGATGACACACTTGCCAGCAGCCTGGCCTGGCTTCTCCCGGTTGCCTGTGGTAGTTGTAGGCTCTCTTCTTTCAAGGTGGCTCCCACTTTCCCTACCACTAATGAAAGAGGAGAGAAGGGCTTATTGCTAAGCTGGGTGTCAGTGGCTTGCTCTTGCTTGTAATCCTAGCTGTGAAGGAGGCTGAGAGTTGAGGATAGTAATTCAAAACCAGCCTGGATAGTAAAGCACATGAGATTCTTAACTCCAATTAACCAGAAAAAAAATTGAAAGTGGAGCTGTGGCTTAAGTGGTAGAGAGCCAGCCATGAGAGAAAAAGCTCAGGCCTGAGTTCAAGCCCCAATACTGGCACGCGCGCGCGCGCGCGCGCGCGCGCACACACACACACACACACACACACACACACACACACTCTCTCTCTCTCTCTCTCTCTCTCTCTCTCTCTCTCTCTCTCCTTGGACTATGCT